CCTCAAGTTCCCTTACTTATATCAAACTAAGAAAACAATGTGAATGTCATTTTCAGAAATATAAAATAACCATCAGTATTTATTCCTCATGCTTCCATTAATCCTGAGCTTTGGAAAGTGTTTCTCTTTTTGTATTTATAGTGTCTCCCAATGAATTGGGCAATAACATAGAGACCACTGTTCCTATTTCATAGATATGGAAACGAGGGGGAGCGGCACACAACAGCATCCTCAGCATTCAAGGAAAGTGATGGCATTAGCACCAGAGCTAGATTGAGAGCTGTAAAAATTCCCACTTATTCTATACCCATCCTTAATCTTATCTCAAACTCTAATAATAAGTTCAATTTCTTACCTTCAGAAGTGCTTGCAAAGGAATCTTTCAGAGAATCAATCTAAGAGAGAGATACAAATTAAAATCCAACATCTTAAGCTATTTGTCTTTCTCCTATGATTTCACTGACCAAAAAAAATTAACCTTTCAAATTTCATTAAAATTTACTTTAAGGGGTTGGGGAGATGGCTAAGTAGAATAAGTGCTCCCGGACAAGCCCGAGGGCCTGAGTTCAATCCCCGGTGCGGCCAAAAAATAAACAAACAAACAAAATTTACTTTAAAAATGAATAGGCTACGTTACTAAGTACAGTATGAGAGTCTAAGAATCTAAACATCTAGTATGTACAGGGTTACAGTGGAATTTCCTGATATTTTGTCCTCAGCCACTGGCTCATTTTTCACCTCTCTAGTTCAAGATTTATTTACTGGTTGATCCAAACACACAACTTCTGTGCTGTTCCACAACTTCTGTTCTAGTTACAAAACTCTTGGGATATTTCCAAAGAAATATCCCCAATGGATGCCCCGTCTAATTTCACATCCAACCTCTCCCCAAATGAACCTAACTGTTCCCCATGATTAGTTCTAGGTGAATCCCCATGATCAGTAATTAGGTCGTCCTAGCAGAAACCTATGAGGCAGTGATGATTTCTCCCTATTTCTCATCAATCACTCACAAAGCCCGTCAATTCCAACTGAAGAATGGCTCAGAGCTGTCCTGTCCTTTGTATTACCAGTGCTTTAGTTCAGGAGTTCATTATCTTTAACCTGAATGATTTCACAAGCCTTAAACCACAGCTTATCTAAACCTTTCCACCCTAGGAACTAGTGAGGGAGCTCAGTGTCTAAGCGCCTGCTTTACCAAGTGCAAGGACCAAGGTTTGATCCCTAGTCCTGCACGCCATGCCAGCCCTGCCCCTGAGGTACACTGAGCAAGTGACCCAGTCCAGGCATGGTAGCACACACCTTTAATCCCAGCGCTGGGGAAGCTAAAAACAGGAGGATCAAAAGTCTAAGCTGTGTAGTGAGACTGTGTAACTAACATAAAAAAATAAAAATAAATAAACCTTTCCACCCTAAAGACAGAATAATGCTTCCAAATCATAAAATGTGCCACCCATAATTTTAAAAACTTTAATGGTTTATTAATGCACAGAATACAAACTTACAAACTCCTCAATAACAAGTATCACTCATACTGCCACTTCCCTTCACATCTGTTTTTCATGTGCTTTCCTCTGAAATGCTATACTAATCCTTGCCACAGAACCCCTACCTACCCTTTACAAGTCTTTTTTCTTTTTTTTTTTTTTTTTTTGGCGGAACCAGGAATTGAACTCAGGCCCTTGCGCTTGCCAGGCAAGCATTTATTATACTGAGCCATCTCCCCAGCCCTATTACAAGTCTTCCTCTACTGTACACCTCTAGTCATGTTTCAAACAATGCAACAATGGATCACCTAGTTTCCCCATGCGCATAAAAACCATACTTATGTATGCCCAATGCTTATCATAGATAGTACTTCTTCCATTATAAAAACCACCATCCATCACACATTTACTGATTTATTTTAAACAAAATCATTGCCTCTATTATATATAAGGAAAGAGCAGTTTTTCAACTTTCCTTGATTTTAGTCTATCTGGTTACTATTAAATGAATCTATATACCTAAGGAATTTAGACAGTAATAGAAAAAAGAACAGGGGCTTATTCTGAAGCCTGAAGTTCTACATACAGAAAAAATAAAACAAAAAATCCTTTATATACTTGTATTACTCATTCTTAAAAACATACATTTTTTTCATAAGAGAGTAAACTGTCATGCAAATACAATAGTAAGCATAAATAATTTCCAAAAGTACTGCTGCCCCAAGTGGGTCTCTGAAATGCATGGATACTTAAACACATTTAATATTCATTTTAAAAACATACTCAGCTATGCATGTACAGAGCTATGACTGTAATAAATAACATCATGACCAAACCCTGCATAAAAAGAGATTTCTGGAAATCCAGCAGGGAGACCGTTATTTTAAGTTAACATCAAGTTCCACAAATTCTTGACAAGAATCTGGTCAATCCAGTGAATTGAGTAGTGAGATGTCCCTTATCCTTGTAGGATACCTATCACAGGCAAAATGTCTTTCAGCAGACACCTAGAGCACAGAGCCTCAAACCTCCCACAAAAACTTCATAATCTCTAAGCTACTTTTAATTATACTTTTGGACATTTATATACACAAGGAAATAATTACATAAGCAAAAAGACTCATGTACAAATGCGCTTCAGTCTGGACTACAAAAAAAATGTTCAAATATAAGTCATCTATCTATGTTAGATAAAATGAGATTTATATATGATGGCATTGTAATAGAATATTTAACAATCATGATTGAAAACAGTAAAGTGATTTAAAACAGTTTTCAAATATGAGAAACTCTTTCATTATGTTAACAGAGAAAACAGAGCAGTATTAGAGGACAAAATAAAATCTGTACACATACACATTCTTAATATATAACATTAAGTACACACATAAAAAATTTCACTGAGCAGCAAGATTACCAATATTATCATGTTCTATATTTTATGTATATTCTAACTTGCCTTTAATTAGCTTGTAGTACTATTAATCTTTCAAAAAAAGAAAAAAACTAAGTCCTTACTAATCCACAAAAGATGCAAAAAAACCTTTATGTAATTGAAGTTACCTAACATTGCTAAAGGAACAACATTTAAAACAAATATAAACGGGATCCACTTTCTAATAAACAGCCACATCATTACTTCCAATGGTGAACATATAGTACACCTACAGTTAGCTGCATCTCATTAGACTGATTGTCTTCAGATCCTGTTTCATATTCTGCAACAGTTACAAGACCATATTCTCCAGACACAGGTCTTCTTGCTTCACTGTGAGAAATTGCTGTGTGCAGAAAAAAATACTTTTAAGTGTAACCCAATCAGTTCCTGGTTTTAATTGTAACACTGTACTGATTTTAGAACACCCTAGACAGAAAAAGGTTCACTACTGAAAGTCTATGTGTGTCTCATAATGAACCCGCTCCATTATCCTAAGTCTTAAACACTTAGTTTAAGTACTGAATGATGTTAGGAAGAGGCACTTGAGATGAGAGGCCACTCCAGTCTCTGGAAGCCTAGCATATGCTGATTCAATAATCTGTTTTAATTTCATTGTTGTTTTGAGACAGGGTCTTGCTGTACAATTTAGACTGGACTCGAAGTCACTATGTAGCCAAGGCTGACCTGGAATTTGTGATAACCCTCCTGCCTCAGCTTCCCAAGGGCTAGGATTACAGGCATGTGCCACCATGCCTAGTCAATTCAAGTTTTTTTGTTATTTGTCAATTCCTACAGGGCTGTTACATTTCCCTGAGCTCTGCTAGGTCCTTTTATTGTTAATGATTCAAGAATTAATACATAATAAATATTTAAACTTCAGACAGGTGGGTCTGAAAGCAAAAGGATCACATAATGTATCACTGCTCTGGTGTAACCATTATGTGTTAAATGCTACTTTTTAAATTGGAACATGTTCAAACTAGAAACATTCTTACCTGTGATTTTAAGTGTTTCTCTCTGTAATGCTCTGGTGACTGGTATTCTCTGATACCAGTGTCCAACACCTTCAATTTCCCAAAGGAGTTCATGATCTCCTGGATACTTTTCAAAGTACTGTTTGCATGCTGTAAAACACATTTAGAATTTCCTAGAAATCTCCAATACCGTTTTGAAAAACAGAAGAGGGGATGTTTCCAATTCAATGAAGCTAGCATTACCCTACCACTACACTGCCAAAAAGGACCCAAACACTACCAAAGCAACTCCAGAAAAGAACACAGCAGTCTCCTTTAAGCCGGGGAGATGGTTCAGTGGAATAAGTTCTTCCCTGGCAAGCGCAAGGGCCGGAGTTCAATCCCCAGCTCCGCCAAAATAAAAAGTCTCATTTATGTGTAGAACCACTATCAAAGTTTTAACACTGATACATCTACAAAAGCAAGTCAGTATATGTATAAAAGTGTTACATATAGTTTTAAAATGCACCAAACAAAATGGCACAACACTGTGGAAAATAATTTGGCAGTTTCTCAAAAAGTTAACGAATTACATGTGAACCAGCAATTTTATTCAAGTATGATAACCAAAAGAACCAAAAACAAAAACTCATAATTCTGCAAAGCAATGTTTACAGCAGTGATACAACAGCCAAAATGCAGAAGCACAAATGACCCTCAACACATAAACAGATTACCAAAATATACAGTCATTTCACACAATGAAATACTATCTAGCAGTAAGAAGGAATGAAGCCTGAGCGATATAGCTCAGAGGTAGAACATTTGTCTAACACATGAAAGAACTTGGTTTGGAGCCCAAGCACCACATCTACACCCACACCAACAGTGCATGAAATTTTGATACACACTATGTGTTACACTTTAAAAAAATAAAATAAAAAAAATCACATTAGTAAAATAAGCCAGACACAGGAAGGCAATTTTAAAATGACTCCATTTAGCTGATGTACCTACAACAGGAAAATCCAGAAACACAGAGCAGCAAAAGGTTACAAAAAGACAGGGAAGAAAAAAAAAAAAAAAAAAGGAAAGAAAGGTTACCGTGTAACAGGCAGAAAGTTCATGTGGGGATAACGAAAGTGAGTTGGGATACAGATAGTGGTGATAGGTACACAAGACTGTGAGTGTGTCATTCCACTGAGTATAACTCATCTGGAAATTATAAATATTACATGTGTATATATTTGAATACAATAAAGAATTTTAAATCAATTAAAAAGTACACTAAGAGCATTATAATGCTTATATGTGACACCACATATAAGTAGGAAGGATACATAGCAACTTCAGGAAAGTATCTCTGGGGAAGAAAGAAGAAAGAGGAATGAGATTAGGGAGGGCACGAAAAGAGAACAGCAGTGTCTACAACTAGCGCTGTATGGGTGGGTATCTCCCATCCAAAATACTGACCAGAAGTGTATCAGAGTTCGGAATTTTTTTTTCCAAATGTGAAATCACTTGCAGCCTTTACTAATTGAGCATGCCTAAACCAAATTCCAAAATGCTCTGAACCCACTGAAAAAGTTGTAGATTTTAGAACATTGATGCTCAACCCACATTTTTTTTTACAATTGGCAGGACAGTTCCAATAATTAACACATTGCATACTGCCTTCCTAGTGGTTATTTGTTATACAAGATGCAGACATGGGGCTGGTGAGATGGCTCAGTGGTCGAAAGCACCTATTTAGAACAAGCTTAGCAAAGCACAGGGACGGCAGTTTAATCCCCCAGCACCACATGTCAGCCAGCCCTGCCCCCTGGTAGGCTGAGCTGGCCACACACACACTAAATAAATAAATAAATAAAAAATTTTTAAAAAGAATGAATCTATCAAATAAATAAATAAATAAAAAATTTTTAAAAAGAATGAATCTATCAAATAAATAAATAAATAAAAGTTTTTTTAAAAAAGCTTTTGAGACAGGCTCTCACTATATAGTCCAGACTGGCCTCAAACTCACAGTAATCCTCCTGCCTCTGCCTCCCAAATCCTGGTATTATAGATATGCGTTAGCATGACTGGCCAAAAGGTTATTTCTTTTCTTTTTTCTTTTCTTTTTTTTTTTTTTTGCGGAATGGGGGATTGAACTCAGATCCTTGCGTTTGCCAGTCAAGCGCTTATCCTACTGAGCCACCTCCCCGGCCCCCAAAAAGTATTTCAATTACCACATCACTCAAAATAAAATTTAAGGTGTAAATTGAATATCCTTAATCAGAAACACTGATGTGGCAGGAATATTTGGTCTTCGGAATATCTGAACAAATGTAATGAGATATTTTGAAGATGATATACAAGTCTAAACAAAATTCATTTATACTAAATAAATCTCTATGCACACAGCCTGAAGGTAATTTCATACAATATTTTTAATAACTCAGTACATGCAGTTTCATGGTCACTTGGTAACTTTTCACATCACACTATGTCAGCATTCAACAACCATATTTTGTAGTCCTTCAGATTATGGATTTTCAGATTTCGTATGTGCAATCTGTAATAATTTCAACAAATATTTATAATTCTTTTAATTTTTAAAGTCAGGGGCCTATATTTTGGGACGGAATTGGTTAAACATAAAATTACATAGTAACTGAGTTTTAGAGAGTTTTGGTCTTATTTCATGTGACTATATAATATGTAAACCAACTTTTGATGTTTAGTAATCAACTGCTGTAATCTGGAACCAAACCCATCCATATGTGGTACTCATTAGCTATTTGTGAAATGAACAAATTACCTCTATTTTTTAAAGCTTGCTATGTAAGGCACTATAGTCTTTCCTAAAATGCCCACAAGTATTGGAAGAAAGTGAAGGTTGTAATAGTTTCATGTTTGGAATGCCTGTCATTCTGGTATTCTGAATATGGGCGGCTTGTCATGACATGCCAGTTACTGCTATGATGTCTCTTGGGTAGGTGGATGTTCAAGAAGAAGGGGGTGGTGAATGAAAGCAAGAGACAGGAAAAGGAATATTGTGGGACTGTCCTGCTTCAAAGT